ATTGAGTTCTAAAGTTCACTGGCCGCTTTCTAAGGTTTTCTACTGAAATATTTGACAATAAATCTGAATTTAGAAAGAAATTTCAATCTGAATGAGAGAGGTGTTTTTTCCCCAATCGGTTTTGCAGTCATGTACACTGGAAAAAATCTTAATCTACATAAGTAATTTTTTTCTTAAAATAAGGGCACTTGTTCTTGACTTGAGCAGGTAAGTGAGATACTTTGCCAACAGAATAAGATAATTTACAATTAAAGTAAGGGGGATAATTCTATTGTCTTATTTAAAGTGCATATTATCTAATAATGTTATTTTAGGAGTAAAGAAATCTCGTTCCATTGGCAAATCCTCTTATTTACCTGCTCAAATGAAGAGTAAATACACTTAATTTAAGAAATGTTGACTAATTTCTAGATAGTTTTTTCCAGTGTACACACCCATTCAGATCTTTGGAGTAAAATAATCTCCACTGCATATGTCCAGTGGTGGATGAAGTACTCAACAGTAGTACTTGAGTAAAGTATTGCTACTTATACTCTAGTCTTATTTATCTACAATTCAATGTTACTCAGTCAAACATCTACTCAAGTACTGAATTTTCTAAATATTCAAGTGAGTATTCAATTAGTATTAGTATTCAAGAATACAAACAAAATGTTCTAATATCAGTATTTTTCTGTGTAATTTTTAAAGTCATTTTAAAGAACCTTATAACTTGCAGAAACCACCTGATGTATTGATGCATAGAACCACCTGCTACAAATTCTACACCACTTGTAAAGAGCTTCAGCATACAAATGGTACAAAAAAATAAAGACAGCTATTTTGGTTATTATTAATTATTAAAAAACAAAGCAAAAAGAAAACAGGAGAGTCTTGATTCTCAAACTTTCACTATTGAATAGAGGTTTAATGTTGAATCTGTGACCACAAAGAAACTACAACTGATTTGAGAGTTCATGTGAACAACCTGGCTGCATTTCAACAACAAACGCTTTAATACAATTAACTAAAAATAATATCTGTTTCTCACATAAGAGACATTAAGGTAAGATTCTACAAAGTCTGTGTGCTGGGTACTGAGTTTTTCAAGTGGCTGATGGGAACAGAAGAGACCTGCTGGAGTGAAACCTTTGCTGGTACCGCTGCGTTCAAAGGAACCAGACCACAGTCCATTTTCGCCCATCGTGGGACAGCAGATTTTACTTTTTTATTGTGAAAGGATAAGCAGGAATTGCTGGACGGTTGAACACAAGCTCAATGGTGGAAAATGGCGAGTTATTGTAAGTATGGGGCCAAACGTGTTGAGTTACTCTAGAAGTGGCCACTTGAATCCTTGTGCCTAGGAACATGACAATCTGGGCGTGGAGAGTTAGTAGTTAGATGCTGATTTGTTCATCAAAAAGGAACTACATTAACTATTTTGCTGATGCTTTTATGACAAGGGTTCAAATTGTGTCTTTTTTTGAAGCAGCCATTTCCGTCTCCAAGCTGAGAGTTTTTTTCTCTCCTCTCATCTCTGTAGACAGAGGAGTTGGTGATGGGAGTATCTCCACAGCCAACAGACATTCAACTTGTGATCACTCCACTTGTGGTGCTGTCAGGATAGAACTGTAAAAAAAGAAAAAAGTATGTATATTTATTATGGCAAGCACTTTAATGCATTCATTCTGATCAGGCTCAGACTGGGAACGATATTCGGACCTGGCATTTTTCCATCTACACCGGCCCACTTATGGACCCCACCCGCCTGCCCCCGAAAAAAAATAAATTAATAGAAGCACATTCAAACGCGTGCATCTCAAATATGAAACACACTGACTCACATTTTCCAGCCCAAAATATTTTCATAAACCGCCTGGAAATCTCGCCCAATTTGAACCAAAGCCTATTGATGTCTTAGGCCATAAATCTAAAGAAAAACATTTTTTACCCAGAGACGGCCATCCTAAACTGCCAGATTGGGAAACATCCCAACCTGGCAACAATGTACGTAAGATGGGAAAGGTTAGCCTTTAGATGCAAAACAATACCATGCACCGCAACATATTTTAGCAAAATATTGAAACATAAATTTGCCAAATATAAGAGGAACATCGTTGTTTGGTTTAAAGAAAGCATTTTAGTTTTATTCTAATTTCGTTTGTTGCAAGGATTTTACAGTTTAAAGAAATAGAAAATTACACCATATGCCAACCGTCACAAGGATGTGCATGACAAGGAAGGCCTATATAAACTGCATGCATCAATTAGGTACCGGTAGTTAACATTGTATTACTTCTTGAGCCCCTTGAGTTTTTCGCTGTCACAGGTAGGAGCTTCAGCCGGAGAGGAAGTGTTGGGGCCGGTATGATTTAAGGAGGGCCGGCCCTTGCACGCTGAAATTAGGACCAACCCACCGGGCAAATGCCTGGGATCACAGATTACCAGTCCGAGTAACTAATTAGAAAGATTTTATAGGTATCGTGGAGGATTTTTTAAAAGACCCCCCTCTCCACTTAAAAAAATTGACTGAATTAACTGCATTTTTTTAATACATACTAAAGTCCCTAGTGGCAACCTTTGCGTTTGCAAGCAGCATCAGTGCTTGTCCACGGCTGATATTTATTCTTAAAAACTATCTTAGTGCAGCAGAAGTTACTCTGTGATTTTGTGGCACTGCAGTCCTGTGAATTCCTGGATGACTGCTAGTCACATAACAAGACAAGCAAACTTGCCTGAATATATTAAGAAAAATAGCAAAAGGGATTCTATAAAAATGAATGAAAAACACTCTTGAGAGTAAGCGAAACATATTTTTTTCCTTGCTACAACATAACCTTAGAGGCATTAATGCTGATACTGGCACTTAATTTTTTTAGTTTATAAACCTTAATATAATTGTTAACTTATATGTTTTTAACTTTTCAATTAGCTTTTTACCTTTTCTTCTTGCCTTGTTAACTTTTTTCCCTAACTTAATTTACAGTAGGTAATATGTAGTTCAAGGGGGGGGGGGGGGGGGGGACTCCATTTGTAAGGGGTATGCAAGTGATTAAAAACACTAACTAACTTGCCCTATTTAGGGTCAGGTAGATCTTTTTAAATTGCACTATGTTTTTAATTGGACTAAATATTGCATATTAAATTGCAATTGTTGAGCTCTGAACTGAACTTATTCAAATGATTGAGGGGGAAGCAGTCTCAGATATGTTCAAACTTCCCCCTCCTATACACCCTTTCCAGCACCTTTAAGGGAAGTGCAAAAGTTTTAAGACCCACAGTGAGACATTATCCATAACCCTGTCCTGGGCTGTCCCTGCACCTCTTCCTGGTGGGAAGTTCTTGGAACATCTCCTGAGGGAGGCTCCCAGGGAGTATTCGAAGCAGATGTCCAACACAAATCATTGGACTCTGTCACGATTTGGTTGGAAGTTTTTGTGAGGACCCAAATGCAGAGGCAGGGAGGCTGAGGTGAGTTCTTGCAGATTTGATAGAATGATCACACAGCGGTGATCTTATTGTTAAAAAACTCAACTTGTTTTGTAGCACTTTGAGATTTGAAATCAAATGTAAAGTGCATGATAAATAAAATTCAATTATTATTATTATTAATTTCAGTCCCCAAATGTTTTTTCCCAGAGCTTTGGAACGTGTCAACAAATGAATTGTTTTTGAAATTATTCAGTGTAGATTTGATTAAACTTCAAAAAGTCTGTAATGTTTAAGCCATTTAGTGGTTTATAGTCTAGTCAGTAATAGTGTAATGAGTCAAGAACCAGGGTGATGTGCTCCACTTTCTAAGTTATAGTAAGGACGCTGGAGGCAACATTCTGGATCAACTGCAGCTGTCTGTTATCAATTATACTGAAGATAAAAAAAAAAAATTATTAAGTTTTCAAGCTCCTGTTCAGACAATTGTCCTTTAATCCTGGAGATGTTTTTTTTAGGTGACAAAAGACTTACTTTGCTGATATTAGACTTTGAAGGTTCAGGTCTGAGCCTATAGCTACACCCAGATTTCAAGCCTGATTGGTAGTTTTTAGCTGTAAAAACTGAAGCTGTTTGCACATTTTCTGCCCTGATATGATCTGGATCTTAATGGGGGTTTTAGCTTGTAAAATAAAGAAATAATAATAAAAAAAAATAAATAGTAAAAAAAACACAAAAAATAACTTTTAAACACTCATTATGTGGTCCAAAAACTATTGCTTTAGTTATGCCTTATTCAGTTGTAGAACATTTTGGCACATCCAGGCATTGAATTCGTTAATACTTTCTATTTATTTATCACTTGGTGACATTGTCATGTATAGATGTGTGTCTTCTTCATCGTTAGGTTAACTTATGTTGTTTTTTGTTAATATTTGAACATAAAAGGTTAACGAAATGGTTAGGCTCAGAGATGAACCCTTGGTGATTTTGTAATTTTATGGTCTCTGAGGTAAAATTACCAAATGATACAAAAAAATCCCTGTCCTTTAAATACGATTTGAATCAGTTCAGAGTTTTCAACCCAGTATTCCAGACGCTCTAATAGAATTACTGTAAGGGCTGCAATAAGGTCCAAAAATACCAGCCCTGTTCAAAATAGTCTCCTTAGATGTGTAAGTATTTCTTATGCAGACTGTATTGGTAAATGAAAAAAAGTACAAGTACATTTTTATAAATGTATTAATTTAGTGATACATTAGATTGCCACTTTTAACCTTTTTCTTTAAAGTGGTGGTTGAGTTTAATGCAAATCAGAATGCACTTTCTTATAAAGTGGCACATTTCATGAAATTCTGCAAAACAAATCATGACACTGTTGTCCCACATTGTACACTAAAAACTTATGATGTAATCAAATCACAGGCTTGTTATAATACAGTTTTATCGACTGAAACAGTGAAATGATCCAGCTCCCTGCTGCTGTCAGCCTGCATTCAAGAGATGGAAGGAGACAGCAGGACAGGGGGATAACTTTATCTGCTAATGCCATGTAATTTAAGACGGTGCCCCAGGATGCATGCGCAGTAGCTCATACACTGAACATGCACACATGAAGGGCCTTATGTTCAAACGTATATGAGAAAATTGAACTATAGCCTTACTTTAGGTATAGAAACATACACACATAGTATAGGAGGCATAAAGAGTTATTTCTGGGACCTTGGATCAACCTCCATTTTGCCCAGACTGTTTGGAGAACTAAGGCTGAAGACAAAAGGTAGGACTGATCAATAAGACTAGAACTGCTTCTACTAAACCAAAGCTCTATCAGTAATTTCTTTATTTAAAGGTTTATCCTTGTTTCTTCCTGTAGCAAAAGAAAAAAGGCAGTGGAAGCTTACAGTAAGTCATAATACATGCATGGTAATGGAACGTTGTGCAGTGTAAGAGTGGTCACACTATAAAGCATGGTTAGGTAATGGAGAATACCACATGCATAAATGTCACTGGAGAATTCTGTCACTGCTACTCTGGTTGATTTAATAGTTGTCATGTATTAAAAAATGTAATCCATGCAGGAAGTTCATAATCTTTAGTTTCATATGTTAATAGTTTTTCACATTGAAATATGTTGCTATCTATGAACCAAAAGAGTGGTTGTGCTTAAAGCGTCAGAAGTGGTACTATAATCTTAATGCTGCTCTAAGTCAGAGATATCCAGACCTTTCAGCTTGTGAATCCACAAAATAGAGCTAAAGTAGAGTCATAAACCAAAGAATTAATTGAGTATTCAAATAATTCTGCAAAATTAAAAACCTAAAATGTATGACTAAATAACACAAACCTTGACCAAACTACTTTAACAAAAACATTTAGCTTCATTTCTTTTGAGACCACATACTGGTTGATCATAGACGCAAGGTGGCGGTCCTGGCCCCAAGTTTTGGAATATCAAACCTCTAAAAAAACACTCACTTTTGTGAGCTGCCTTTACTGCATTTTATTTTGGGGAAACACAGTAAAGCAAACTAAACTGATATGCAAAATATATTTCTAGATTTTCTCCTGTAAACATAAAATCAAATATTTTGCTTATTCTCCAGTATTTTGTGTCATATAGGGACTTGCAAAAGCATTACATGTAGATATTTGAATTTAAAACAGGTTTTGTTGGTGTGTTTGAACATGCTGCTGTGTTTGTTTCACTCTTTGTGGTGAAGGTTCACATATATTCTTGGATCAGGGCAAACTAGTCAATAGGCAGTCTTTGGCAGTACATCCAGCTATGGTGAGCCATTAGAACATATAATCTTTTTTTTTATTATTATTATTTTGGTTTCCAAGCCATTGCTTTTAGGATTCATCTTGATAAGAAAATACAGAATTATATAAACTTAAATACTTTTTTCTAATTTATCATTAAAACTGTGAATAAACTAAGGTACCGCTAAAAAATCTCAAAAAGATCAAGTCATAAAGATCATAACTTAAAAAAAAACATTTTATTATAGAGATAAATTGATTTGAAGATATAATGATTTTTGATTTAAACAAGAATTAATTAAAACTACAAATGAAAAAGGGAGAACAGATAAGCGGATCATGGCTTGTCTACAGTGAAAAGAAGGACTGTGTTTTTACTTTTGCAGTCGCCTTTTTGGAAACACAGAAAGGAGCAATCGGCTAAGTGAGCTTAGTGATTGGAAAAAATCCTGCTTTCCTTTTGAGACAACATGAAAAGTCAGCTGAGTATAAAACATAAAGAGGAAAACAACAAGAAATGGGCCAAGAGGAGAGGGGCCAAAACGTAGAACAAAAAATGTATGTCTATACTATAAAAAAATTCTGTATCTGTATAATGGGTCTGTTTTATGTGCTGTCTTATCAATTCATGGGCCCCCTGCCTGTTTTTGTCCTGGGCCTCAAATTTCCTAAATCTGCTCATGTCTCTAATAACTTTGGAAACTTTGACATTTACATTTTCTTATTGGGAAACAATAAACTAAATCAGATGTCTAGGGAAAAAAAAAACAAAAAAAAAAAACATTTACGTTCAACTTGAACAAATTAAAGCTAAACAATACTCCAAATCCAAACAAACCCAAAGCATCTCCCTCCCTCTCAGTATGTGTGGATTCCCCTTAGGAGGCTGAGTGGAAACACCGGGTTCTTCTCAGCAAAGCTCATGGGGCCGCTTCCATTTGCTCCCATATGACCAGGTGACCTCAAAGAAAATGAAAGAGGCAAGAATAAAAATGGTTCTTTAAGTTACATCAATATAGACAAACTTAAACCTTGCGCCATTACCCAATTTTTTAAAAGACAGAAACTGCCTATTTGCAACACCTATTAGTGGTAAATCCCTCACATTTAGATCAACATTTTCTTGTGAAAAAGCTAGAAATAGAAATGTGATAATATGATACAGTTGCTTGCCATATTCCAGCTGACACGCTGAATCGACACGTTGCCGACCAATTTTTCACTCCAAATCTCCTCCAATCAGAGCGCGCCTGGCTTTGTGACCATGGTTACCGTTACAGCTGTATTATGGGATGTACACATGGCAGCTTCCTCTGAGGAAATGCACAGAAACAGAAAACATTTACAGCGGGATGTTATTAAAGATTCGTGGTGTTTGACGCAGTGGGTGAGTCCTGGACGCGGTTTGCTGCTTTTAAGCCCCTTCCAGCCGGCAGTTTAAACGACTCAACAGTTAATAAATGTCACGTTATCGGTCTTAATGAAAGAAATAAACTGCAAGTTTGTTGTTTGAAGATTTTTAATTGATGTTTCGAAACATGAATAATGCAGTTCTAAAACTTTGTACTGTCCATTAAAGAAACCTCATTGTTTGTTGAGCAGACTTCAATGTTAAACCCGCAGGATTTGAATTGGGAATTGTATGGAGGACCAGGAGAGCCATTAAAAAAAAAAAAAAAAAAAAAAAAAAAAAAGAAAGAAAGAAAATTCTGACTGTTTTAAAATAAAAATGTAACTAAGGCTATTACAAACCCCATTTAAAAAGCATTCTGTAAGTGAAAATTTTAAATTGAATTATTAGAGGGAATGGAAATTATATTCATTAATCTAGGGCTGCAACTAACAGATAGTTGCAAATGGATTAATCTGTTGATTATTTTCTCGATTAATCGATCAATAAATGATTACCTAAAGGTTTCTCTGAATCAAACCAGGTGAAAGTAAAACTTTTCCTTTTGAGGAGTTCTGGATAAAGCACATTGATAAACAAAAAATATATATTTTTTATCTTAAATGCAAAATGTTTTGCAAAACAAAAATTATATATATATATATATATATATATATATATATATATATATATATATATATATATATATATATATATATATATTTTTTTTTTTTTTTTTTTTTTTTTACAATTTTCAAATAATTACTGCTCTAAGTGGGTCTCTTTGTCAGCTAAAGGCATGTTTTAGAGACTATATACTCCAGTGAAAGATTAATCGATTAGTAAATTAGTGGATGATTATTTCAATAACAGATTAATCATGATTAATTCATTATTTTATGCTATAATTTGAAAATGTATTTTCAAGTTCTCTTTCAAAATGGAGATATCAAAAACACAATTTATTAATCTTATTGTAAATAAAAAAAATTCTGTTTTCTTTTACGACTCGTATTTTTAAATCCTTTTTGCTGCACATTATCCTCTCCATTTAGCATTTCTATGACTCGTCTAAACTCTGACTACAATAGGAGCGACAGATTTGCACTAACTTTGCTACTACAGACAGAAGGGAAACTGATGAGCATCCCCATTTAGAAAGGAGAGGTCATAGTTCAGTATCAATGAATTTCATTAAGAACCTGTCTTATGAATGCTGGAGGATGTGTCAAAGTCTTGCCTTAAAGGTACACTATGCAACCGGTGTTGATTTTCCAGCGAGACTCCCCCCAGAGGGCGAAAGTAAAAGTGCACTGTCGTAAATATGCACAGCTGTTCTCCTGGTTTCTCCGTCAAGCCAGGCGCGGTTGTTTTGAGCTTAGCAGACAGGCGAACGCAACGAATGACTAATGCTGCGTTCACACCGCAGCTGGTGCGACAGAAGCAGCGAGTTTACATGCAAAGTCAATGGTTGACGCGCGTCAAGGCGCAGCAAAGGAGCAGCAGGCCCAGCGCGTCTGAGCAGCTGAAGCAGGGAGAGAGACACAGCGCTGATGATCAGTGGCTATGATCTCTCTCCTCTTAAACAGTTTATTGACGCCTAAATTAACTTAAAATGCAGAAATCTGCCGGCAGAATATGCAGTTTGGATTATTTAGATGAAAAACACCTACCAGCTGCCGCGGTGAACCGCGAGGACGTGACCTGGCCAGAGGCTGCTGATGAAGGGGTTCCTTCTGTCGGCGCACCGCTGGTATGTGGGGGTCTGAGCGGCTCCGACAGAAAAAATATTGAAGGCAGGATAATAATCTGAATGAACTGACGGCACTGATTACGTTTTCAGGTGTATTTTCTTATTTAAACACATATTAAAACTACTTTATTCCAAATGATCACAGCAAATATAGCTGCAAGGCAGAGAAAGGATAGTGAAGCTCCACCCAACGCGCGTCAGACACACTTTTGCACCGCACAGCCAGAGCGTCAGAACTAACTGGTTCAAGCAGCAAAAATGAAGCAGCAGACACGATTTTGCTGCGTGAACGTAGCATAACTGCACAAGGATCGCCACTGTGCTAGCAACGAGAATGCTTTTAACTGGGGGCGTGTAGCAGTTCTCGGCCGTAAAGCAAGACTGACTCTCACGAGACTTCTGAGCCTGTGGGTGCGGGTTGGTGCTCCTGCAATTGCAAGTGCAGTATTTCCCCCACAGACCACCAGGGCGGCCGAGAATACCTTTGTTCAACCTGAAATGACTCATTTAGTCATCCAAAACGTTATGGAACACATTAATTAACTGAAAAATGTTGCATAGTGTGCCTTTAAGTGCAGAAGTCTTCTTAAAGCCCTTGCATCTTCAGTAACTGCACTGGGTCTAGGCTCCTGGAAATACTATATGGACAGTATACGGTAATAAGAAAATGTAAAATGGATTTAAAATAGCAAGGTAAAACAAATGGAAAAGGAAGTTTGATAAGGAAATATATTACAATCAAATTTATGAATCGGGGTTTTCCAAATCTCCATTTAATAATAGGATTTAAAAAATATATATTTTCAAATTTCAGTATTTAATTATGGATAAATAACTACAATTTACTGTTCCTCTTTGATAATTCAATATAAAATGTGTGAGATCCAATTTGCTTTATATAACTTAAAAAATAAGCAACAGTTCTATGTAATGTGTGCTAAATTGGAAATCCAATATCAAATGTTCAATACTGATGCAGCTAATTAGTCAATATCAGAGCCGATATTTGATTCATTTATCTGATAGGTCCATGTCTAATAACACCGACCAAAATCTGAAAAACCCATAGAGGAAATAACAGTTTCTGTAAACAGATCCAAATATTGTCTAAATATTCACCTATGTCCTTTAATTGTTTAGGATTTCATTTTAATTATTATTATTTTAGGTAAAAATGAACTAAATAAGGACTAATTGTGGAAAGTTACTGTTGACACAAATGTTTTTACATTAATTAACTTAAATACTTTCATTTTCAAGGCTCTAAATTATTTTACATGTCATTTTACACAGGATTAAAAATGTGTTTAAATGAAATTGCCCTGTTAGCCATTGGTTGCCGGCACTGACAAACAACCAAACCACATGGAGCTTAAATGCACCACTACGCACCCGATGGAACCGCTCTAGGGTTGCTGCGAAGGTGCAGCACAGTGGAACCAAGGCGCTTCCACTCTCAGTGGAAACTGTAGATGTGGGGCTCAGTTGCTCCATTTGGCTACATCTATAGGCCCCTTTGATATACATTGTCGATATGAAAAAAACCAAAGCATGACCAACAGATACTCATTTTAGCTACCTTCCCAGTATTTTATTTTAGTCAATCTCATATAGAACATGGGATAATTGTTCTTCATAACTGGATGTTTTTTTTTTTTTTTTTTTAACTTTCTTTACCGGACAGAACTAATGAAAATATATATGTTCTCTAAAGAATAACGGAGAAAGATTTAAATCTAATTGTTCACTTAGAGGAATATATAAATTTATGAGAGAAAGATAATTTGGAAATTGGAAATCCGTCTGTATAAAAGTGTATTTTTTTCACCTGCATTTAAGGGTTGTTTTAAAGTCAGGTTGCATGTTGAGTTTAGAAATAAATGCTTGTTTAGAGCTAATTTCTTATTTCATCTTGTATGCTTTAGGATTAAACCAACCCAGCCTGCCCTGTCAAAATTACCGCAGCCATCATGCCTGGTGATGATAAACCACAACAGACCCGGCACAGGAAGAAGAACAAAAAGTCCCGCTCCAAGGGGAAGAGTCCTGGCGGGAGTCCCCACACTCCCATTCAAGACATCTTAGATGCACAAGATGATCTCATATCCTCCCATATTCTTCAGCCTTCTAAGAGGCTTCTGGAGGAGAGGCCCAAAGCTTCAGTCACCAAAGTGGAGGAGGAGTCGGCCATACTGATATGTCTTCAGGTGCTGTTCCCCTACCTGCTGGCTGGGATGGGGATGGTAATGGCTGGGATGGTGCTGGACAATGTACAGGTAAGTTTAACAACCTTTATCGTGAATTTCTGTTTTAACACCTTTTTTTTTTTTTCCCCAACTGGTAAAAATTGTCTGCTTTCCATGTAAACAATAGTCAAGGATAAAGGCAGGATAATGTTGGGAAGGAACAGGATAATATGGGTAAATCAGGGCCAATATTAATATTGCAATATGAATTACAGTTAAAATTAAATAAATCTGCCCCTACAACTTTTGTTTGACATTAGATAACTAAAAAATCTACCATATACAACTGTCTGTTTGTGTTGCAATGGATGGATATGTGGACTATAATAGAGTTTATATCTGTGATTTAGCTCAAATGTCATGATTTTTACTAGCTTTATGTGCAAACTGGTTGCTAAAATCTAAAAACAACTTTAAGGCTCTTCACTTCCCCATTTCAAACGTCAGCATTCCTGGTTGTTTGGCTCCCATTTTTATCATGTATAAAAAATGAACGTGGACTACAGGACATCAATTCAATTTATACAGATGCACCAACTAATCAGCCGGCCAATCAGCTGGCCCAGACTACAAATTTAATCTATTTCAGCAGATGTCTGTAAATCTAGTTATTGAATACAATTTTTATTTTATAATGAGAGCACTGCTTCTTGTGTTTTATAAACTAGTTTATATTGTTTCACACATTGTTTAGTGTTTTTAATAACAGAGATTAGAACATTGGTGGTGTAATGTGATATAGGTTCAGTTAAGAAAATGGTACCAGCCATATTCAGCATCTCAATTTCATGCTTTAAAAAAAATCAGTGGTCAAACAAAAACTATGGATGGTTTGCCCAATTTCATACCCGTTTTAAGAAAGTTTTTTCCTTTCTTTAATTGACAAAAAGAACAACATGACCCTTAGAGTTCTGCTGAGCTTGACTGTAGGTGTGAATAGAGAAGGATTGTCTTTTTTAATGTCAAATCGAATGCAATGCTAGCTAGATGCATACAGGTAAACTTGCTGGTTGTTTCACCTGATGAGTGATGCTGGTGAGATGAAAACGCTCCAGTAGAGCATCAAAGTGCATACATAGAGCCTTTCTTTAACAGAGTAGAACTCTGGTGGGTTAGCTCCTAGAAAGGTTCACTCCTGTTCTATTTCATCTCTGGAAGTTAATATTGATCCTAATATTGTTACTCACCTGTTTTGACAAGTTTTAGACCAGGGCATGATTTGCTGATTAGTGAATGACTGAAAAAGCAGAATAAATGTGAAAGAAGCTAAATAAATCCTTGTATGGTTCATTGTTTGTTTTTTTCCGTTTAAAAACAAAAATGAAAAAACTAAACAAGCATGTGGTTTTTCTGTTTTTCCGTTTTTAAAACCTAAATAAAAAAAATGAAAAATCGAATTAATAGAAAATCAACAGCCTTTGAGTTTTGTTTTGCCATCTAAATGAAAAAAAAAAATACCATTGTTGTTTTAATATGTAGCGGTACCGGAAATGAAGTAAGTCGCCTAAGAAAAATAATTTATAGTGGATGAAGATGGCATCAAAACAAACCATTTCTAAACAAAAGGCAATGGCTCCACTTGAACCGTTTTTTGCATTGATTATCGAACTTTTTGAGAGGAAAAACACAATCTGAAATCAGTGATGCTTTGAGCTGCCATGGAGCTCCACGTTGCACCGATTCCCTCTAAATAACACAAACGTTTCCATTTTGGTAGTGCTAACTGAAAAAGTTCTTCTTCTTGTGGATTGTGATGGTGGTTGGCAACAAATTGAAGTTGTACATTACCACCACCTACTGGTAACTAAAAAAGTTATGTGTTGGGAGTTCAGGTCTTCATTTCCGGTTCTGCCATAAGGTCTGTTGAATTAACAACAAAATAAAAGTTTGTCTTTGGTTTAACCATTGCAGTTAAAAAAATCCCAAAACGTACCCTTTTTTTTTCATTTTTGCAAATGCCGTTTTTCTAATTTAGTTTTAAAACAGAAAAACAAAAACCACATACTTGTTTTGTTTTTCGTTTTTGTTTTGAAACGAAAAACAAAAGAACGAACCATACACGGATTATGGTGCTGTTTTGTTTAGTTTTGGTCTGCTAATCTACAGGGTTAGATATTATAACTCCCCCATGGTTGGTTGTTTTTTTGCCCACTTGGATATTTTCAGGTACTTTTAATCTGTTTTAACTAAAAGGTCAAACATACTTTCTAATTTCCCTCAGATTAAGAGTATTTAATTTGCTAAGTAGCCCAAAAATAGCTGTTACCATTTTGCTTTTTGTATTGGAAAAGTTGTTTTTTCTGAACTTAAATAAAATTGCAGTTTGTGGTCAGCAGTAGATAAGCAGTGCTTTGCTAAGCTGGAATATTATGGTTATATTGTGTTTGGTTACATACTGAATGTGGGAAAGCAGAGGCAGGGGAGACAGATAATGCAGCGGTGTGCAATAATATACAATACTATTGTATTATGAGTGCAATAATGATAGTACTGTGCAATCCGTCTTTCTTCTTTAAGGCCCCATTTTAACTTTGTTTAGAATTCTGCTGCTGGTTTGAAAGTCAAATCCTTTCCCTGGTGCATTCAGAGTTTCTGAACAGAATGACCAAGCAGAATACAGAAACAGCTGCTCCACTCTGAGCACTTTGGGTTTGAGTGCCTTTGATTGGATTATTTTTTTTCTATAACATTAAGATAACAAGCCTCCCTTGTCTTTGTGCTGCTGGTGTCCTGAACATCTACAGCTCATGGCTCTATGTACAGCAAAATCTAACAGGTTTTCCTCTGGAGTTTCCAATTTTTAGCTTCATAGGTTAATTCTGACCCACTCTCTCATCCCTGCTGAGGAAAACCATGCCAATAAACACATTGTTGCTGCTATCCATAAAATTGCCGTCCAAATGGTAGGTTGATAGATTCAAAGCAGCCAAAGACAAAACCATATAGTGACAACCTGTGTAAGAACAATTAGGACATGCATACTATTAAGATCTTATGTAATATTTGAATGGAGGGCATTGGTGTACATTCTAAGGATGTAAAATGGATGTAGGAAATGTGTGATTTATCTATCGCTGAACGATATTGCAAAAAAAGCAAACTTGTGCTTATTTTCAACTGATATTGCAATTATTTTATTGAGATTCTTCTTTACACTGGGCATGTAGATGTTTCAGTATTCATGACCTTGAAATCTTGCTTGTCCAGAGTCTGTAATTACAGGACTTTACAGTAACGGTTGTGTGAAAAAGTTCTTCCTTCTACTATCATGCATTGATCTGCAAGCTAGGTGCAATTCTTTCTTCCCTTCTGAGTGGCATCAAACCCACTCTAGGCAAGGCAAGGCAAGGCAAGGCAAGGCAAGGCAAATTTATTTGTATAGCACAATTCAGTACAAAGACAATGCAAAGTGCTTTACATGATTAAAATACAGGAAGATAAAACAGAATCAAAGCAAGTAGGAAAAAATAAATAAATAAAAAGTCTAAGTGTATAGTACCACCATAAGGGCTGAAGGGATAAATTCAGTGTTTTGCTCTTTTAAGATGTAATGTGACTAAAATTTAGTGCCTCTGCGATTTGAATATTTTGTTTTTCTAAATTGCAATTATATTGTAAATGCATATTGTAATATTGTAAATGCATTTCCTTTAATTTTCCTTTTTTATCCATTATTTCTTTGTGGTAAAACAAAACCGGTTTATTTTTCTTAAATAATGCCAAAGTTATTAGGAAATTACATTGTGCATTTGGAACAAAATCCTTACCCCCCAATCCTAAACAGTTTTGTTCTTTTAATCTGGATTTTCTGGATAGGACAGATGCGGTTCAGGAGGAGCACAATATTGGTAAGATCCTCCCTCGCTTTATCGAATACTTCTTAGGGATTTCATCCCATTGATCAAAGAGGAGGAAATTCTTCAAAGTCACTGAGTTGATGCAATCAGATTTGTATCCATGGATAGAAAACTTTTAATCTGTTTGGATTATTTGGTTGAATTGTCTGAAAATTGCATTTGTTGTAAATTGGTGCTATATAAATAAACAGAATTTGATTATTCTAAAGTCAACCAATGAGTTTGCTTTGAATACTGTGGTAGCACAAAATGCCACAAGGTGACAGTAGGGTGCAGGTCAGGACTGCAGAGACTATCCTTTCCCAGCTGAAGCTCCTGATCTGTTCTATGAGAAATTGTTCAAATTAACATCTTGGATGATAGTTTGGTTCCTAAGAAGGGAGATAAAGGGGTTACAATCTGATTTTATCTTATTGCTTTTGCTTTTAAATTTAAGTCTTATTTTCCAGTCAGTGAGTTTCTACTCGACTGCTCAACCCACACATACATTCATCCTACAAATATATGAGGAAATAAATGTTCACTCCGAGATTTACTGCCAAGAAAAATTGGTACATCAGTAAAAAATATCACTTTTTATTTGAACAATATCTTTCCAATTGGAGGGACTTTCAATTACCTTTTATTCAATAACAATTATAGATTGAAGTCACTGAAGCTTATGATACAAATAACAGCATTATGATGATAGGAAAAATCTAAGAAAAGTTAGGAGAAAGATGATTAAAAACCCACCAGTATGCTCGTTTAAATATTCCCAAATAATAAAAGATTAATCCAGTTAATCGAGATTAATGGATTACTCAAATAAACGTCAATTAATTAGAAACCGATTAATCGTCAACTTGAGTATAAAACATGCCTGTTGCTGACAAAGCGACCAAATTAGAGCAGTAATTATACAAAAATTATTAAAAAAAATATATAAACATTTTACAAAAAATATTAATTTAATCTGTCATTATGCTCTATCCAGTACGCCGGAGTATTAAGGCTAGGCTACAGATTCTTATATATATATATATATATATATATATATATACTTTATTTTTTTTTTTCGAGAACAAAGTCAAAATATTACGACAATAGAGTCATAAAATTACCAGAATAAAGTCGCCACATAATGAGAATAAAGTCGTAACATTATGTTAATAAAGTCATAAAATTACAAGC